CTCAGAATGGGCTACTGACATGCCCTATGTAGTTTGAAATTTTTTGGCTGAAGGATTCTTGAGTTACAGATTTTTCAATTAATTCTGAATTATTTTGAATTTATCCAGAAGGGTTCATTTGCATATGGCAGCCATGTTGTATAGAAAACTCAACATGTTTTTGATGATTCTTGACTTTGAGGCTCTTCTGAATTTTTTGACACCAAATGAATGAGGATTGGGCAAAAATTGTAGGACTAGTTCGCAAAAGTAGGTTTCGCATATTTCGCAGTATTGCGAAAAATCTAAGTGGGCGGAGCTAAACAATCAAAATAGCCAAAAGGTTTATTTGGACCCATAGAACCAGGAAAAAAATATGGCTTGTCTGGCAAAAATCTGGTTTAGGAGATATAGACGCAAACGCGTTGGCCTGCGCTGTAGCGCCCCCTTGTGGCCGACAGGGCTGATTCCTCGCGCCTGAGTAGCGGGAGGGACTACTACCAGTAGACCAAGTTTGGTGTCTCTAGGACTTACGGTTTGGGCTGTGCGTTCCGTTTCAGGGCGGAAAAAGAATAATAATAATAAGAAGAAGAAAAATCCGCACAATTCCAATAAGGTTCAATGCATTGCATGCTTGAACCCTAAATATAGCCGCAAGCGGCAATGAGCGGGTTCAAGCACGCAACAGCAGCATGGGCCCTTCTGCAGGTTTAGCCCATTAGGCCTAAAAAGGCCTCAAGCTTCTGGTTTAGGCCATTAGGCCTAAAAAGGCCTCAAGCTGTTGGTTTAGGCCATTAGGCCTAAAAAGGCCTCAAGCCTTTTATTATATTAGGCCTAAACAGGCCTCAAGCCTTTGTATAGTAAGTCTTTGTATAGTGAAATCTTTGAATGAATAAGCCTAAATAAAAGACAAGCAGTGCAATTTTTGACATAGCATGTAATTAGAAAGTTGTTCATCTTAGTGGACTGAGTCACATGACACCAATTGTTTATATCTGGACCTTGTAATAACATTGTAATAGCAATTTAATTGATTTTTCAATGTTTTTGAGTGCTAAGGCACACCCAAAGGCCAATCTGGACCAAAATTGGTATACTCCATTAGAATCTCAATATGTATAAATCCTCAAAGTTTGGACATGATCTGACTAATGACTGGTGAGTTATAGCTAATCGAGCTAACAATGCCACGTATGCAGGAAATAATTGATTGATCCACATGACCCTGAGTAGAAAAGTGAAAATGTTTTTGATAATTATTTACGGAGAGAGGCCAAAGAATTGTTCTAGACCAATTTTGAAAAGATTGGATCAAAATCCAGAGACTAGTTCAAAAAGTAGGGTTTTGAAACATTTATCTATTACAAAAAAACTATACAGATGTTTAATGAACATGCATTGGCAAAATTGTTTGTCACATGGTAGTACAATAGGCTGTAGGCGAAAATTGTAATAATATTGTAATAACATGTAATAATGTGTAATTTTTTGAAATAGCGCCACCCAGTGGTCAAATCTTTTGAAACTCGACTGGTTGTTAGAAAGTGGGTACATATAGACATCAGTCAAGTTTCGTCATGATTGGTCAATGTTAAGCCTGTCAAATGGCCTACTGAATGCTTATTGGCCGATGGCGACCACAAATTTCAATGCATCCAAATGTCCTTAAATCCCCACTTGTAGAATGTCGAGAGGATGCTGCATGCCAAGTTTCAGCTTGATAGGATGTACAGATGCAGAGAAAATGCCCTGTTTTTATTGCTCCGCCCCCTAATTACTTATGCGCACAAAAATCGAATGGCTACCTCAGAATGGGCTACTGACATGGCCTGTGAAGTTTGAAATTTTTTGGCTGAAGGGTTCTTGAGTTACAGATTTTTCAATTAATTCTGAATTATTTTGAATTTATCCAGAAGGGTTCATTTGCATATGGCAGCCATGTTGTATAGAAAACTCAAAATGTTTTTGATGATTATTGACTTTGAGGCTCTTCTTAATTTTTTGACACCAAATGAATGAGGATTGGGCAAAAATTGTAGGACTAGTTCGCAAAAGTAGGTTTCGCATATTTCGCGGTATTGCGAAAAATCTAAGTGGGCGGAGCTAAACAATCAAAATAGCCAAAAGGTTTATTTGGACCCATAGAACCAGGAAAAAAATATGCCTTGTCTGGCAAAAATCTGGTTTAGGAGATATAGACCCAAACGCGTTGGCCTGCGCTGTAGCGCCCCCTTGTGGCCAACTGGGCTAATTCCTTGCGCCTGAGTAGCGGGAGGGACTACTACCTATTGACCAAGTTTGGTGTCTCTAGGACTGACGGTTTGGGCTGTGCGTTCCGTTTCAGGGCAGAAAAATAATAATAATAAGAAGAAGAAAAATCCTCACAATTCCAATAGGGTTCAATGCATTGCATGCTTGAACCCTAATAAGAAAAATCCGCACAATTCCAATAGGGTTCTACGCACTTCGTGCTTGAACCCTAATAATAATAAGAAAAATCCGCACAATTCCAATAGGGTTCTACGCACTTCGTGCTTGAACCCTAATAAGAAGAAGAAGAATAATAAGAAAAACTCTAACAAAAACAATAGGGTCCTACGCACTTGCGTGCTTGGACCCTAATAATAAGAAAAATCTTGACAATTCCAATAGGGTTCAATGCATTGCATGCTTGAACCCTAAATATAGCCGCAAGCGGCAATGAGCGGGTTCAAGCACGCAACAGCAGCACGGGCCCTTCTGCAGGCTTAGCCCATTAGGCCTAAAAAGGCCTCAAGCTTCTGGTTTAGGCCATTAGGCCTAAAAAGGCCTCAAGCTTTTTGTTTAGCCCATTAGGCCTAAAAAGGCCTCAAGCCTTTTATTATATTAGGCCTAGAAAGGGCTCAAGCCTTTGTATAGTAAGTCTTTGTATAGTGAAATCTTTGAATGAATAAGCCAAAATAAAAGACAAGCAGTGCAATTTTTGACATAACATGCAATTAGACAGTTGTTCCTCTTAGTGGACTGAGTGACATGGCACCAATTGTTTATATGTGGGCCTTGTAATAACATTGTAATAGCATTTTTATTGATTTTTCAGTGTTTTTGAGTGCTGAAGGACACCCAAAGGCCAATCTGGACCAAACTTGGCATACTCCATTAGAATCTCAATTTGTACAAATACTCAAAGTTTGAACATGATCTGACCAATGAATGTTGAGTTATAGCTAACCAAGCTAACAATGCCATGTATGCAGGAATTTGGTGTTTAATTCACATGACCCTGAGTAGAAAAGTCAAAATGTTTTTGATAATTATTTACCTACAGATGCCAAAGAATTTTTCCAGATCAAGTTCGAAAAGATTGGATCAAAATCCAGGGACTAGTTTCAAAAGTAGGCTTTTAAAACAGTTACCGATTACAAAAAAACTATGCAGTTTTGTAATGAATATGCATTTGCAAAATTGTTTGGAATAACGTACTACATATGATACACAAGGATGTTCAAGCAAACTTGTAATAACATAGTAATAATATGTAATAATATGTTAATTTTTATGAATAGCGCCCCCCAGCAGTCAATTTTTTTCAAACTTGATTGGTTGTTAGAAAGTGGCTATATTTAGAGATCCTTCAAGTTTCATGATGATTGGTCAATGTTAAGCCTGTCAAAAGCCTGCTAAATGCAGATTGGCTGATGGCGACTATGTACTTCAATTAATCAAATTGTCCTTATAAAATTCACTTATAGTCTGGCCAACAGATGGTATTTGCAAAGTTTCAGTCTGATCGGATGTACGGATGCTGAGAAACAGCCATGTAGCATTAACTCCGCCCCCTAATGACATATGCGCACAAAAATCTAATGCCTACCTCAGAATCTTCTCCCAAATGTGTCTGTCAAGTTTGAATTTTTTTGGCTGAAGGGTTGTTGAGTTACAGAATTTTCAATTAATTCTGAATTATTTTGAATTTATCCAGAAGGGTTCATTTGCATATGACAGCCATGTTGTTTAGAAAAGTCAAAATGTTTTTGATAATTCTTGAGGGTAAGGCTCTTCTAAATTTTTTGACACCAATTACTTGAGGATTGGGCAAAAATTGTACGACTTGTACGCAAAAGTAGGTTTTGCATATTATGCAAATTAGCTCAAAATCTAAGTGGGCGGAGCTAAATGGTCCCAATGACAAAGTTGTTTGTTTGGACCCATAGAACCAGGAAAAAAATGTGGCTTGTCTGCGAAAAATCTGCTTTAGGAGTTATTAAGCAAAAATGATTTTTCTGCGCTGTAGCGCCCCCTTGTGGCCGACTGGGCTGATCCTTGCGCCTGAGTAGCGGGAGGGACTACTACCTATTGACCAAGTTTCAAGTCTCTAGGACTTACGGTTTGGGCTGTGCGTTCCGTTTCAGGGCGGAAAAATAATAAGAAAAATCTTGACAATTCCAATAGGCTTCTCCGCACTGCGTGCTTGAACCCTAATAAGAAAAATCCTCACAATTCCAATAGGGTTCTACGCACTGCATGCTTGAACCCTAATAATAATAATAATAAGAATAAGAAAAATCCGAGCAAAAACAATAGGGTTCAAGCATGCAACAGCAGTATGGGCCCTTCTGCAGGTTTAGCCCATTAGGCCTAAAAAGGCCTCAAGCTTTTCATTTAGCCCACTAGGCCTAAAAAGGCCTCAAGCTGTGGGTCTTATTCATAGGTAGAGTGAATAGAACTGAAAGGAACTCAGTTCATCAAGACGCCTTCAGTTGCCATAAACAATGAGTAGATGAGAAGGTTCTCAAACCCAGCTTAGGTCAAAAACTAAGTGAATGGAGTCCAGAAGTTACAAGGAATTTCAGGGAGGAAGACAGTTGTGTTTATTCCTGTGACTATCGGCTGTAGTGCTGGAAGTATTATTATTTTTATGACGCTTATTAGAGAGCTGCAGTGTGGACTGTAATTGAGTGTGTGCTGTTGAGTACACTCGTTGGGTGCCTGAAAAGGTCTTATTGTGAAAGAGTGGGAAGTGAAGGAAGCCATTAACTAACCGGTTTCACTGGAGACTGTGGGTGACAGACTTAGGATATTAAAGTGTCCTTGCTCTATCAGTGGTTCACTGGACCCCTTGGGTGCCAGACTCAGGATACTGGAGAGTTGCTACTCTATCAGTGGTTCACTGGACCCCTTGGGTGCCAGACTCAGGATACTGGAGAGTTGTGGGTGTATCAGTGGTTCACTGGACCCCATGGGTGCCAGACTCAGGATACTGGAGAGTTGTGGGTGTATCAGTGGTTCACTGGAACCCCTGGGTGCCAGACTCAGGATACTGGAGAGTGGTTGGCTGATGTGTAGCTTCAGTGGACACAGTGGAAAGCTAGAAAATATCAGCAAGTTGTTGAAGTAATGTTTGTCTCACTTGAGCTCTTGTGTGTAACAGTCAGGACAGGGGAGCTGTTTAGTGATCAGTGTTTTGCTGTAGGTGTTGGTTGCGAAATGTATGATTCCAGAGAAATGCTGGCTGAGTTACAGCTATAATGGTGTGTTGAGAGACAGAATAGAGGGAGAGTTGTTGACTTTAGGTATGGTGTTATGAACTTAGAAACGAAGAGACAAAGTTGTGTTAAGGTGTGATGTACAAGTCATGTGTGGTTATTTTGTTATGTACTATGAATATTTTTAGGAGTTGTGCAGTAAAAGTCTTTTTGCTGAATGATGTTTACTTGGTTAAGCAGTTTGTGCTTTATATGAGCATAATGTCCATAAGGAGTGTTAGTAGTGTAGAGAGAGCCTGTGTGTGTAGAACTGCAAATGAAGGCAATGTGATCAATAGTGTGGAACTGTTAAGAAAAATGTATGTTTTACTACATACATACAGTAAGAAATGTGAAAACTGTAAGGGAAATAGGTTGTCACTGAAAGATGGGTGGGTCAATATCTCATTTTGGACAGCAAAGTAATGCAATTTGGAAATACCAAGTCAGAGAAATGTAGAAGTAAAATTAAGTGACAACGAATCATATATTATATATCATATATTATATATCATATATATTTAATCATAAATATAACAGAATGTGTGTATAAGTAATATAAAACGGTAAAGGTATAAGAGTAGTGCATGTGACAATGTAGCCAATTTAAGGCAATTATTATAAAGATAGTGTGTATGAGAGTGTATCAGTGTTAATCCATGACAATTTATATTTGAGAAACAAGTGTTCTAGCAGGGTGGAATATTGTGTAATGGTGTGACAGCTGATGTGAAAGTTAGGTTGTGCTTTGTATGAAATACATTAGGGAGTTGTGGTGTATATAGTGATGAAGTGTGTACATGTAACTGTGTTGTGTACTAAAGTCCTAGGATGGCAAACTTAGTCTGACTGAGAACTGTTGCTTCATTGGTGGTTCCAGACTCAGGACACTGGAGAGCTGATCAGTGGTTCACTGGATGCTTTGGATGGTAGACTCAGTATACTGGAGGTTTTGCCTGATATGTTGCTTCAGTGGACACCTACAGGCAAAGATGAAATGGAAGACATCAGAGAGTTGTTTTCATGTGTAGGTCAATGGAGTGATTTTGGGTTTGTGAATGTGGGCCAATGTTTGTAATGTGTATGCAATATGTAATATGTTCGTAATAGTTTATTTAATTGTATGTGAGTGTGAACTGTATGTTCCTTGAAATATTTGAACATAATGTGCTGGCAGTGATGGGTTGAAAACGCAGGACACATGGGAAGTTAATTAATATGTGGTATTTGTAAAGATAACAAACAATGACTGCAGTGAATGTGTTTAACATGATTATATGAAGATGCATCATAGGTTATTCTACTGAAAGCATGCTATAAAAATTTTGCCTTTTTGGGGGTACAATTGGGGTGACAATTCTGAAATAAACGAATGAATGAAGATATAAGCAAATGTTAGCAACTGGGTTATTAGAACAAAGTGTCTATGAATTGTGTTGATAGAAGTGAACTGAATGCTTAACAGAGCAGATTTCTGATAAGGAAATATGTTGTATATGAGAACACAGTAAAGTTTACATAGAGAAAAATAAAGTGAGGTTGATGCTATGAAAGGTCGTGTAGGTCTTAGTAACGCTAGCTAGCTTACTGTATATGGTGTTCTGCAGGACTGAAGAGGGCTATGCTTCACTGTGTGGTATGACATGTACAATTACAAACACCCTCTGATTTGTTTTGTGAGAGTATGATCAAAACAGGAATATTGGACGGATAACCATTACTAAAAAAAAATCACAACACACAAGATATGAGGAAACTCTCAGCTGTAGTTGATAAAAATAGGCGTACGAGCAGCTATATGCTAAGTTTAGCAGTGGAGACTTAGCCCTGGAGATGTAGACAAACGGGTAAGTGAATACTTGATAGTATATTACATTTTGTACAGAAGGTTTTAGCACGTTTAAGGAAAAACAACTTACTTTACACCGGAGAACTGTGTTGATCGTTCAATAGAGTTTGTGCTCGAAAAACCCATGTGACCAATGACCTCTGAACTCTCATGGATACAATCATGTGACATCGGTGAAAAACGTATTCAACAGAAACGAACCGGTAGTTGTTCATGGTTTTAAGGCAATAAAAATTTGTATGCCTACTCATTAATTCAGCTTTCATATCAAGGCTAGAACCTAAATGTGAAATAATAAGGAAAAGTTATTTCTGTATAGTTGTGTAGACCTTATAAGGGGAGTTTTGCGAAATATGAGCTGTAAAGATGACCTGTAAGGTGATATAACTCAAAAGTCATGTTTAGTAATTACTTGTCGTGCTTTACAAATAAATTAGGTTATTTTAAATGCGTTGGAGATCAAGATTTAGTATAGTCAGTTTAGCAGAGCGGAGTTATAAGTGCAGTTCACCTTTTTAACCACTAGATGTCATTTATGTTCACAGATGTTCATGGTTTTAAACGCAGAGAAAGGAAGCTTTTTCGATAGAAGTTCAAACAAAACTGGTTCAGGAAGCTTCGCTTTACAGTTACTAGGCAGCGAAAATATATGTTTTATCAGCTTTATAGGTACAGGGGCGGAGTAAACGGCAGGAAAGAAAGGAATGAAGTAAAGCAAGCGTTGGTAAAAGTTAGTGAAAAGCGTTCAGGAAGTGGTTCGTACACATTGTAAAAGAACAATTCTAGGATATATATTTTTATGTGTGCTATTGGTAGTTGTGGGTTCAAAAAAGCATCAAAATACTGTGTAAATTATATTTTGTCAAACATATTGTAGGCTACAGTCGAGGAGCTCAAATGTATGTTTTCATGGTTGTGGTATTGCTACAATGCCACGTTCGTTTTTGAGATGGTGTCGGATGCATGAGAGGTCTCAAAGTCTTTCTGGAGTATAGAGCGCCCCCATGTGGTCAATCACGAACATCCATATGACGAGTGTTCCATGTTATCTGCAAAGGGCGGAGTGGCTGCAGGTTTTCACTGTGAAGAAGCTGAAGCACACCTGATCCTCCTTATTTAATCAGTTGGTCTTGCTCTTCAAATATTTCATCAGCTGAGTTCTGCTTTGTTAGTATGAAAACCCGCATCCACACTGGCCCTTGGATAGGATTGGACATCTCTGATTCATATAATGCACAAAGCAGATCAAAAAGACAGTAAAACAGCACAACTGCGTACATGAAAAGAATATTGTGATTGCATGTTATCACAGAAATTGTATTGAGTAGGTTGACATGATAATCTCTGAAGGTCTAAAACGTGTTGGTTATGTAGTGCAGCTTGTAGTGTTGATAGTTTAGCTGATGTCATAGTTAATAAATATTTAAATGTGTTAAGATATTTGATGTCCTCAAATTGTGTTTTTTATTTCAGGTAGTGTAGGCGTAGTGATTCAGCAGCGTAAATTTAAATATACAAGATTCGAGAAATGTTAAATAAAGCAGAGTTCTGCTCTACTGTAATTTACAAATATTTTATTGATTAAAACTAGTTAATGTAGCTAAAGTGATGTATTTAAAAAGGACTTTTATTTTAATCAGTTCAGCCACGGTAAAGCGTTTCCTGTGGAATTCGCCTTAAGAGCGAGTGAGCGGAAATTCTTTCCCTTTCATTGCGATCCTGCATTGAGGTAGGAGCTCCTCCATGTGTTCAGTAATCACTGTTCGATAGTCACCATGTTCAATAATCACTGTCCACTAATCACTATGTTCAATTATCACTATCCAGTAATCACTGTCCAATAGTCACCATGTTCAATAATCACTGTGTGGTGTTTGTGTGATATTTGTCCGTCTTTAAAGTACAGTTACTGTGAGTTTTAACAGGCGAACCTTTCTTAGTAGCGTCGTGTTTAGTTGATTATCCCCGTTTTAAATGCTGTGACTAGTTTATTAGCACAGGTAGCATTTGGAGCACGAGGCAGCGCGTGTTAGTTTAAAGGGTTGTGAAGGGTGTCGACTGTAGAATGATGTTGGTTTAGGGTGCTGTGTTGTTTGTGAAGCGTAGATGTAGTTTTTAAACCTTTCCCTGACCTAATACTCGAGTTATACACTGGCTGTGTACAAATAGCACGACGAACGGTATTTTATCCGCTTCCCTCGGCTTCGCCTGATGTCGTCCTGCCGAACTCACAACAAGCATCGTCGGTCAATACAGACAAACAGCGCGGCCTGTACATTTTAGTACCGTCGTACTATAAAGTGTAAGAGTTTGGAGATGGTTAGTTAAAGGTTCGTTTGCCCTGTGCCCTACTTTATGATTGTTAAAAAAAAAACCCATGTTTATCCCGATGTCTACATTATTCGCTTCCATCACTGCAATCTTTATTTGGCGGATGTTAATGAAAATGAACAAACATGGCTAGGTTATGGGAATTGGTACAATCCGAGATGTTCTTTCCTTGGCAAATATAAATACATAAATTGAATAAATAACAGTATAAGCTGGTTAATGGTAATCAAGTTAGAACAGTGTTTATCCAGAAGTTAGCGTATTAGATGTTTTGAGAATTTAGGATGATTTATGTATGTATGCGTGCATTTATTTATTTATTTATTTATTCATTTATGTATGTAGCGTAGGTATCCCTGTTATTAGCCACCTCAAAACTAATGATGACTGTAAATCCACTTTTAAAATGGGCTTTCTACAATTATTTAATTTTTTAGTAAATTTGGTTACAGCACAGAGCAAGAGTAACCTGATGAAAAAAGGAAAAATACATAAACTCGGTGCATATGGGTGGGCATACTGCATATTCAAATCCAATGAAGAGGCCAAATGCTTGTCCATTATTACCTCACGTGATAGTTTTGCAGTACAATGGAGTAATGACTTCTACATCACAGCATTTGAGTTCTAGTTTTGCTCTAAATGATATTTTAGTAGGCAGCAAAGAGTCTTACAATGAAAGGTTTAAATTGAGTTAAACTGTAATGACAGCTAAGCTGAGAACTGTGCAATTGACTTGTCTGTAAATACAGCAAGTTTGTTATATATATGTTTGAAGACTAATGTCTTCTCTTTCTCTGTGTATTATGTGGCTACTGGATTTGGTGACAACTGATGGAAACCTTTTGGTAAGTATTGCTGTTAATATTTTCTTCCGATTCCTTTCTTTCTTTTCTTTGCCGAGTTGAACAGCTGTCCTGTGCGTTCTGATGCTGCTGCCTCTTCTGCCTTGATTGGGTGCCACTGCTCGCTGTGCAAACCTCACCCTCACAACCTGACCCCCCTGATGCTGCATGAACTAAACTAATCAAATTACTCATGTGCTCCACCTGTTTTCCCTGTTTTTGTACTATAATACTTTATACTAACAATGTTTTACTATCTGGTGTCGACCAGAGGAGGATGGGTTCACCTTCTGAGTCTTGGTTCCTCTCAAGGTTTCTTCCTGTTTCTCTTAGGGAGTTTTTCCTTGCCACTGTCGCCTCTGGCTTGCTCATGGGGGCTTGGACCCGGATTTCTTTCTGTAATGCTGATTTCCTTGTAAAGCTGCTTTGTGACAACACCTGTTGTAAAAAGTGCTATATAAATAAACTTTGCTTGCTTGTTTGCTTTTTTCAACGTTAATCATGAAGCAGCAAACAGTTCACTTGTATGCAAAAGGTGTCAGTTATGAACCAAGAGTGACAGCTGTGTGTAGTTCTAGGATTGAGTTAACTTATACTGGATAGTATAGTGCCTTAAGGATAGAAGTTGGTAAACTGTCTCAGTACATAATTGTAATCAGTGTAGTAGGAAAAAGTACTTATTTTAAAAGTACCATATTTTAACAGTGAACAAATTATTGTGAATATTTTCCCCAAAATGGAATGGCTAATTATATAACTGTTGGCTGTGGTTGTGACCTATCTGGTTTCAAAGATACTTGCGCAGTTAAACTTCTGAATGTGTTTTTTTTGTGTGTGTGTGTGTGTGTGTTTTCCTGGAAATGGGAAGTTGGCAGATTCAGCAGTAAGAAGTACAGGTATGTCCTCAATGGAAAACATGCATCATGATGATGATAAATTTTTGGAACAGATTCAAACAAAATTGGTATATAAAAATGAGTCTGCTGTACCCAGATAAAGCCATAAAACTGTCAATGTCATGTTCTTTTTCAGTACTCCCTGACTGTGGAGTAATGTTTTGCATGGAGTGGGAAACATGACTGTGGAATCTACAGCAGTAGCAGTATATTCATAGTGACCTAATGTTCAGTAGTATACCAGTATTATTTGACGTTGAATAGTCTAATTCTGATAAAAAATATTTTGCACTGTACAACAGGCCCTTTAAGCTGTAAAAGGAATCACAGTTCATCAATGTATACCTCTGGCATTAAAGTGGGAAATTGTTGTAAGCAATCTGCAATCAAATTCTCTCAAGCATTGCTAAATTAATATTAAGTCCATGTTGAATTATGAAAATATTTGTGACTGTGTGTACATGAATTGTGACTTTTTTGGTACATTTCTGTCTCTTTTTCTGGGACATTGCCTGTGGTTGGAAAATCTTAACTCTTCAGACATTGTTGAAGGTATGTTTATCAAATGTCTCATACTGTTTATCATTTATATACACTTGTACTTCTGTAGTTTAAGATGGGTTTTATACATACAGTGGCACACAGATTCATATGGTTACTTCAGAATCAATGTACTGAAATCTAATCTGATTATTACATTTCCTGTTTTTGCGGCTGCTGAGCTGCAAAAAAAGTAAATGTTAGTATGAGAGTCTTTTATTAAATATGCTTTAATATTTGTAATAATGCAATCATAATATAGGAAATGGAAAATATGCTTGTTTTCAAAATGCAGCTGCATCTTGCTGAAGAGGCTAACAAAAGTTGTCCCTTGCATGTTGTCATAAAATGTCCTCAGAACTTACTGTCTTCTTAATGTTGTTTGTTTTAGCTGTTTGCTGAGTTCTGTTTCAGCAGAGTGAAGACTTGAAAGGTGTGCTCAAGGGCGTACTGTGTACCGGAAATTACACTATGATGTTGGAAGTTACAGACTATTGCTTATATAATAAAGTAATAGTTTATCAGTATGGAGTACTG